TTTTTTTAAATCTCATGTTCTCAGGGCTGTGCAATAAGCACTGTACTGACTAAGCCATCTCTTTAACTTTCTCTGTCTGATGGTTCATACACCAACTGATTGGTTAAGTCGAGGCTGATGAAAGAAAAAAGTCTTCCTAAATATAGTCTATAATGCTTGATATCTGGCTCAAGACATTTTGGTAAGTGATATTCAGTGCAAACATTTCCTGTCTTTTTAATATTCAACTTGATAACATCAAGAGATCATCATTCAAAGAATCACCTTAAAGCTCTCAGTCCAATTTAAGTATTGAACCTAAGTGGAACAGTTCACAGATCCTACCTGGCACAAGCCTGAAACAGTTTTCTTGAAGCATACATCACACATTTGTTTTAATTTTATTTTCATCATAAGTCTAGACCATGCCTCTGCATGCAGTATTTATCCTCAGGAAAGCCACATTATAAAGACACAATGTCTAGACAAGCAGCTCACCCAATCTATCAGAAATATTTCAAAAGTATGTAAGTATTAAATTCTAGCCAAAAGAACAAAGTAATATCAGTAGCTAAGATTAAAATAGACTTTAGACATGACATTAATAAATTAAAGAACACTGTCTTCAAGAGTTTGAGGAAGTGTCTGGATGAAAAAGAATATCAAGTTTTAAAAAAATCTATAAATTATATTCTGTCGAATCCCTGAAAACCATAGTCAAGGCTAAAGATATGGTTCAGAGGTAGGGAACTTGTCTAGCAAGCAAAAAAGACCCCAGGTCTGATCCCCAGCACAGTCAATACCTCCTTGCCAAATTCATGATTAATTTATTGGCATGGCAAGATACCCATGAAAAACAGGTTAAAAGATATTACACAGCTTACTTTAATAAAACAACAAAACAAAATTAAGCAGGGCTGTTAATTTACCCAACTGCCCACCCTGACCCTATGTAAATACCAAGAGAGAAGGAAAGTTGCTTATTCAAATAGCCAGGAATGGTTTTTCCCAGAGTGTGGGACATGGTGATTTCATCTTCATTCCTTTTTGAATTGTCTGGTTTGGAAAACAAAACCAAACTGGACACAATGCACTTATACATAGAAAAAAAATAAACTCATTTTCATGAAGAAACTTAACATATTATAAAACTAAAACCCAAAAAACTAATTTTCTAAAATTATCCTGCCAAGTTTTTAGCTTTTGCAAAAACTTCAATTGAGGCTGCTGTAAATATTCTGAAAATTGTTAATTTCTCATTTGGTTTTTAAGTAGTCCTTTGATAATTCAAAAGAGCACTATAAAACCATTTCCTTATTTAACAACTAGAAGTTTCTTAAATACTGAAGTAACATTTATACCTGTATTTGGAATTCCCCCAAAAGAAAACAATGTTTTCAACGTTTAAACAAAAAAGTGGGGTTTGGTTGAGTTATTAAGAAGAAAAAGGCTGGGCAGGGCTGGCACACATCGTTAATACCAGCACTCCGGAGGCAAAGGCAGGAGGATCTCTATGAGTTCCAGGCCAGCCTGGTCCACAGAATGAGTTCCAGGACAGCCAGGGATAGACAGTGGAACTGTGTCTCAAAAAAAAAAAAAAAAAGAAAGAAAAGAAAAAAAGTGGACTTTCAGTTGACTATCCAATTTTTAACCTTATGTACAAGTCCTGAGATAAGAGCTTTAGCATTCCAAATTTAACTCCAAACAAAAGCCTTTGCTTTGGGTCTACAAATGCCCCTTTCAGTTAGAAAGTGCTAATTTGTCCAAAGTCACACAATGCATTTATTTATTTTCCTGAAGATGACTCACTCAATAATCTGAAACATAATGACTATGTGTTTGTAACAATTCAAAATAACTGTAAAATGGCTTGTCATTTTAATGATTAATTCAGAGGCACAAGTTACAACTTACGTTTGAACTTACATTCTGTAAATGTAATACATACACGAGAGACTGTCTGTCAAAATCTAAAAAGTTGAAGCTGCATATTTTAGTAGGAAAAGAGGCTTTCATCCTCAACTCTGCCTCCTAACTTTATCCTTAATTCTTTCAAGTTTCATGCGGGGTGGTGGTGGTGGTGGATTATCCCATATTTAGGGGTTCAAACTAAAGTTCAGAAGATAATGAATGAGAAAAAGATAAAACACACAATGACATCCTTAGCTTTGGCTTTCCCACACCGCACCATGTTCAAGAGCTATCGGCAAATAGCCAGCCTGTACTAGTGACTATGGTATGGGTTATGGGAAGTTATATTCAAAGTGTGATCAGCATCTTTTGGAAACTTGTTAAAAATATAAATTATCTCTACTTCCTCCCCACCAACCAAACCCTGCCAGAGAAGCCCAGAAACTGGTAGTTGACAGCAGCTCTTGCGGGGATTCTGATATACCCCAAAGTCTCAGAACCACTGCTTTAGAATACTAATGCTGTAAGAACGGTGTTTCATGTCCCACAGATGGATTTTTTAAGAATTATTTGAGAAAATATATAAAAAAAATGCAGATGGCCAGAAAGATACTTCAGCAGGTAAAACTGATTGGCATACAAACCTGATGATCTGAGTCCAGTCCTTGGATTCCAGCATGGAAGGAGAAAACCAACTCCTGAAAGTTCTTCTCTGACCTCCATACTACCTCATGGCATAAGTGTCCCTACTCAGTCTCTCATACGTACACACAAATACACAGATATACACACGTGAAATACTTTTTAAAATGCAGACAATGATGGGAAAATAGCACAGCAGGTAAAATCTCAGTGAGAGACCTTATTTTTAAAAAATAAGGTAGAGTGTGGTGGAAAAGACACCTAATGCCACCCTACTGCTTCCACATGCATACACATGGTGAGTGTACTTGCACATATGTATACAGCATACATAAATTATTAAAATTTTTAAGAAAAAATGTGGCAGGATAGTGATGGTGCACGCCTTTAATCCCAGCACTCAGGAGGCAGAGGCAGGCGGATCTCTGTGAGTTTGAGGTCAGGACAGAGTGAGTTCCAGGACAGGAAAAAAAAAAAAAAAAAAAAAAAGAAAGAAAAGAAAAGAAAAGGTGTGCATCAATCAATTAACAAACGAATAAGGTAGAGAGTGATTAAAAAGGAGAGCTATTGAGGAGGATGATACTTAACATTAACCTCTGGCTTCTACATGTATACGTACACACACAGCACAGAGTCAGCATTTGAGAGAAAAGTAAAGTAAACGATGAATCGGTGATTACCAGAGTGTTCAGAAGCTTGATCAACTTTCTACAGCCAATCTCATACTTTACTCATGATCTCTCTTCTTGGACAGAAAGTAGAAACTAGCTATTTGAATTTAATATGCTTGTAGCTTAGTCAACTTCCAAGTTACTGCTTTAACTTAGGGGGTCTGGTGACCACACACTTGAATAACAACTGCCTAGTGTACTTCCTTCTGTCTATTCTGAATTAGCTTCTAGAGAATCTTCCTTAGACACTGTAGCTGGTTCATGTTATTTTTTGGCTCAAAAAAACTTGTATTTCACAACTGCTTCATGAAGAGGGAGGGGTATTGACGGGCTCTATAGTAATCTAGGGATCAAATACAAATGTAAATATGAGATAAGCCACATGGATTCTAAACAAGTAAAGCCACATGCTCATCTCATGTCGTTTTTTCATCCTCCCACGCCCATCCAGAGATGGAGTCTCAGGTTGTCCTGAACTCATTCTGTAGACCAGATCCACCTGCTTTTGTCTCTCAAGTGCTGGTATTAAAGTTGTGACCATTATGCCTAGGTGTTTTGTCTTTGAGACAGTGTCTTGCTAGTGTACTATTCTATCTAGACCAGGCTGGCCTTGAACTTGAAGTAGTACTCTTGTCCGGGATGAGAGGTGTGTACCACTATGCTAGGTATTCATTCCATTTTGGTTTTCTTATTTTTATTACAGTCAGAAAAGTAACCATGTAAAAAAGACACATGACTTCCAAGTGTCCAGGAGACAACAGGGTAAGCAGATTATAGCAAACCTCAACCCAGCAGGATCTCTACATGCCAATCTAGTTGTGTTTTGTCACATGAGGATAAAATCTTGGCACTGCCAGAAGTTTAATCTTCTGAAGACCCAGATTTTGACTTTTATATGTAATCCAGCTTTAACATTCTGGGTAATATAAAAAATAAATCAAACCAAACAGCTGTGTGTTCTAAACAGAATCTATCTGCAGTCTGTGACCTGCTTGCTAGAGAGCTCTGTTTATGGCATTAAATCCTTCCCCGCACTGGCCTGCCTCACTCCTACAGCAGCATTTCATTCATTATCCTCCTCTTCTTCTTTTTTGAGACAAGGTCTCTTTATATAGCCCTAGCTGTCCTGGAGCTTGCTTTGTAGAACAAGCTCAGAGCAATCCACCTGCCTCTGGCCCAGAGTGCTGGGATTAAAGGCATGCAGCTACCATACCTGGCCCCCATTTCATACTTCTTATTGTGTCTATTTAATCCTGTCAACTGTGAGAGCAGTCAACGAATGAGGAAAAGGGCAAAGACAGCCTAAGGTAACTTGTCCAGCATAACATGATTAGCCCAGGTCTCTTGACTCAGTCAGTTACAATTGCTAGTTATTTCACTCATACCTCGTCCCTTCCTTTATGTCCTTTTGCTTAAGCTATGTTCTTATTTAGGATGAACTCTGTCTGCTTAATCTCATAATCTTTTAAGATCTGCTCAAGTTCCACTGTTTAGCATAAAACCTTCTCAACCAGGTCAAATTCCCAAGTTTTCTCCTCTTTTTCTGAACTTCAATTGTTGTTATGGACAATAACTTACAAATCAGCACTTAACAACAATCTTGAGCCATCAGAGTATTTTATATCACTTCATATTATGTTTTACAAGAATTAAATTCTCAGCTGGATTGGGATAGGCCATTCTTCATTTCTATTCCACCTAGTACTTAGCATTGTGTTTTAACAAAAATTGACTTCAATATTGGCTAAATTAGGCAGCCTTTTGAGGAAGACAATTACGATAATGCCATTAACTTACCAGCCTTATGTTGTCTTCTGGGCGGAGTAATATGAACATTGCTTGAAGATGTTGTTGGAGATCACCTGGTGAGATTTACAAAGCAAAGGATGATTAGTCTCCATTCAAAAAATCAATAGAGAGGATTCCTTCTACCTTGGCCACTTGTAAAGTTATGATTTACTGAGAAGAGTTAATTTTTTTTTTTACATTTTAATTTATTTTGGTGTGTGTGTGCATGCCCACATGCTCATGTATCATGGCACTTTCCATGGAGGTTGTGGGGATTGGTTCTCTCTTCCACTATGTGGGTGCCAGGGATTGAACTTGGGTTGTCATACTTGGCAGCAAGCACCTTCACCCATGGAACCCTCTCATAAATTTTTGTTGCTTAGGACTGGGTCTCACTATATATCCCTGGCTGATCTGAAACTCCATATGTAGATGAGGATGGCTTCCAACTTACAGAGACCTGCCTGCCTCTGGAGTGCTGGGATTAAAGGGGTGAGCCACCATGCCAAGCTCCATCTCATATTTTTATTATGAGTGTAGGTGCTCAATGAGGCCAGAAGAGGGTGATGGAGTTGGTTGTGGGCCAAATGATGTGAGTGCTGAGGACAAACTTGGGTCCTCTAAAAGGGAAGTGTGTGATTTTACCTGCTGAGCCATCTGACCAGGTGCCTGAGTCACAGCAATCAGTTAAGATTGTTGGTTTAACTTTTTTGTTTGTTTGTTTTTTGAGACAGGGTTTCTTTGTGTAGTTTTGGAGCCTGTCCTGGATCTCACTCTGTAGGCCAGGGTGGCCTCGAACTCACAGAGATCTGCCTGGCTCTGCTTCCCGAGTGCTGGGATTAAAGGTGTGTACTGCTGCCTGGCTTAATTTTTTAAATAGTAAGAGATTAGTAGGCTGTATTTTTATATATTTACTTTCAGTGTATAGTATGTTAAAATTTATATCTGTCCTAGAGAAGATATACTTGAGAACAATCTCTATTTCATACAATGGTAAAAGTGGATGAACAATCTGTTGGTGGAGTCCCATAAAAGGTAGTAAAAGAACTGTTTAAAGAATTATCCTTGAGTTTTGAATGGTATACATAATATCTTCTTCTGTAATAATAATACTGAAATGCCTTTAACTTAAATACTGTTAGATTCCCTTTATTTTCAATAGTTTAAAATGGTTAATGGATGATATTAAAATGAGAATACTTATTAAATAGAACATATTAGGAATAGTTATTCTCCTGAACATATTAGATGCTTTAACATGGCCAACTATTTGAAACCTAACTTATTCTTACATATTTTTTAAAACTAAATTGAAAATCTCTGTAGTAAGATTTAAGATACTAGCACTCAGGAGGCAGAGGCAGGCAGATCTCTGAGTTCAAGGCCAGCCTGGCTTACAGAGCAAATTTCAGGACAGCCAGGGCTGCATAGAGAAACCCTGTCTCAAAAAAGAAAAAAAAAAAGATTTAAGATACTGAGGATGATGCTAGGCATCATGGTATATGTCTTTAATCCCAACACCTAGGAGGCAGAGGCATGTGGATCTTTATGAGTTCAAGGCCAGCCTGGTCTATTCAGTGAGCTCCAGGCCAGCCAGGGCTATTCGGTGAGACCTTGTCTCAAACAACAACAACAAACCAAAAACAAAAGAGACTATGATAAAAACAAAACAAAACCAAACCCTGTGGAAACTCATATTTTATAAGCTTGTGGAGGTGTACACACACACACACACACACACACACACACACACACACACACACACACATATTTAAAAGGAATAGGAATTTGAACACAGATATATTGTATGGGTGGACAATGATTCCCACAGAAGACATGGGTTATTAATTGAAAATCACCAGCACTAGATATGAGTTCCCTCTCTATACATTATTAGTTAGGGAGGCTCGACAGGTACCCCCCCAAAATACAGGCTATTGTCATTGCTCTTAGTTGCCTACCAGAACTAGATGGTATGCCCCTATTGCTGCAGACACAATATACTTTGGTTGCAGGACATAGAAATCAAGCTGGAATTGACCTGAAAGTTCTTCCTGCTGACCAACTTTCATAGTGCCAGAAGGTGGTATACAGGCCACTGTGGGGAGCAAAGCTATGCAGTCACCCCTGCATGCTGTACTACTCACCTCCTAGACAAGATGCTCTCACTGGTGCAATGGGGGCACAAAGGTGAGGGGCTTTTAGATTGGATTTGGCTTGTTCCACAAGAAAGAGTTTAGGCCTGGAACTGTAAACCTGGCCAAAGCTCAAGGTTCTGGAGCAGAGGCGCTGGGGAAGAACCTATTACTGTTGTTTTCTTAAACAACATGTTGTTGGACTACCTTGTTACTATTTATTCTTATACTCATAGATTAGTACTGCCCTCAACCTTGACCAGAGAAACTTCTTTCTGCAGTGGTCAACAGTTATATGCACACTCCTAACTGCTCAAGGTGCTCATCCCTAAATAGAACACCTATCCACCTCTCAGGCCTCAACAAAAGTTCTGGAAAATTGCAGAAGGGCAGAAGGAATGTAAGAGCTAGAGGCTAGGAAGGAATGTGAAATGCTGGGCAGCACACCCCGGAACTCACTGAAGCTATGGTTACCAGCACAAGATCAAGTCAAATAAGATCAGTAAACATTCTAATAGGCAGTACTAATTGGACTTAGTGGGTTCTTAACAAAAAAAGGGAAGACCATGAAAGGGAGAGAGGTATGTGCTAGAGGTGCCTGAGGAAGTAGGAGGGAGGAGCTGGGAGTTCCTGGGGGAGTAGAAAGGGCATTGGGGATGCAAGGTTGTTTGCATTATGAAACCATCAAAGTGTGTGTGTGTGTGTGTGTGTGTGTGTGTGTGTGTGTGTGTGTGTGTGTATATATATATATATAGGCTGTTAGAGATGGCTCAGCAGTTAAGAACAGTTGCTACTCTCTTCCACAGGACTGGGTCAACTACCTGTATCTCCAGCTTCAGGGGATTTGACACTGCTGGCCCCCTCAAGCATCTGCAATCATGTGCATATACCCACATGTAGACACATACCTATACATAATTAAAATAATAATAAGCCTTTAAAAAAAGAGAGACCAGTAAAAAAAAAAAAGATTTAAGACACATATTTTTTTCATTTCCCTCTTCTGTACTAGGAAATCTGAGGATTTGGCTAACAGGGGCAGATAATATGCTGTCACAAATGATAACAATCTAAGAACCCAAGGCTTTATTTCTAACCACCTATGGCCCTTTTTAAAGAGTTTTAAGATGTCTGATACAGTCACATAACCATAGATGCCAGTATAGCTGGTTTTCATAATAGGCTTGAAACCTATATATATATAATTTTCTTTGTGTTCACTTCATAGCTTTTAAGTATGACATTAGCTGTGCAAGAACTAGTGTGAGGTAGGAAGAAAAAGATGCAAGTAGGTGTGATTAAAAGCTTGACAAGTTTGGAAACCTTTTCTCATTTTTTTCCTCAAAGAATAATTTTTTCCCCTCCCCATTTCACTGCTTGCTTCTGACTAATTCTAGTGTAACAGAATCCTTTAACCTTCAAAATTAAAAAGAAGATCCATTTTACTATGTTTCAAGCCCAGAGATACAATCTGAAGAAGCAGGATGTGTTCTCAGGTATAAACCCAAGGGAAATGAAAATACATGTACAGATGAAAACTTATATGCAAGTTCATGCTTAATTATTCATAATAGTCTACAATTTTAGCATTTGGGAGGTAGAGACAGAAGGATCAAGAGTTCAAGGTTAGCTTTGGCTACATGGTGAGTTTTGAAGCTAGCTTTGGTTGCATAAGACCTTGCCTCAAAACAGTCAGATACCCCTCCCCCCAAAATACACACACACACACACACACACACACACACACACACACAAAAAAAAAAAAAAAAAAAAAAAAACCAACAACAATAAAACCCAAAAAACCCTCAAGTTTATACCGGGCATGGTGGCTCATAACTGCAATCAATGTACAAGAAGCTGAGGCAGGAAGATCGCTGTAAATCTGAGGCCATCCTAGGTTACAGAATGTGACTCTATCTTACAAAACAAAAAACTAAAATCAGGGCTGGTGATATACTAAAGCACTAGAGGGCTTGCCTTACATGAAACAAGGGCCGTGGGTTCCATCCTTAGCACAATGAAGCAACAAACACCACCACAAACCTAAGTTCCTCTTGAAGGCCACGAGAGTAGCCCCGGAAAACACTCAAGATGCAGAACCTCTGGAGAACCCTGAACAGCAGGCCCAAATTCCTCAAGGCACCAGTGGTGCAAAGATCCACCTGAGTTATTTCCAAGTCAGACAAAACCCAGGACTCTTCCTTCTGCTGTGAGGCCTCTTATCTGAGCTGCCTGCCTAGAAGCTTAGTTTCCTTATCTATGAAAAGTTTAGCTATGAGCAAGCAGGGTATTATTTCTTACAGGGAAATTCATGTTTACAGAGACTATCAGGCAGTATACCTCTAAAGTCCCTCCTTTATTTTATAGTCTTTGCACATATTTCACCAATAGTAGCTAAATTGAAGATAATGTTTGATTAAATAATTTTGTCATCATTTTCCTTAAATACTTAAAGATGTTTATTAATAATATAATTTGAAAATTGTCAAACAGTATTTGGATATTTTAAATGCCCAGATTTAAAAAAAACAAACAAACTCCAGGCACATTAAAAAACTACGCACAGGAACACACCATCAGACATTAAAGCGTTTGACACATGCTCTTCTGCTTAGCCAAGGCAGTTATGTGAAGATTCGGCTTGTATAAACTTCAGTTCTACATATATCATCCCGTCTGTCTAGTCTGGATCACAAGTCAATTCCATGCCGTCCGTGTTAAACCTGCTTTTTCTTTTTACTTAAGTGAACAATATCAAGTAGAAATATTTGATTATGAAATTTTCATTAAAAAAAAAAAAAAAGCGAACCAGGCCAGGCAGGAGCTTGAAAAGCAGCTAACCACCCCACTTCCTATTCCATGCCAGGGGGTAATTCACGCAAAATGTTAGTCAGACGAGTTGGATTTAGAACAAAGTTTGTCTTCTTTTTACTGTCATGAATATCCATACCCAACAGAAATAAAAAGCTTAGCTTGGCTATTTCCTCTGAGCATTCACACTTTTTGGGAAAATGCTCAACTCCATCTATGATGGGGGATACTGAGGAGGAAGCATTGTGAAAATATACCCAAGTTAATTTTTTCAAAAGTTTTTCTCCCTTATTTAAAAAAAATGCCATTGTCACAGAGCTTTGGCAGGAAGTCATTAACATGGCCTAGGGAAACTAGTTATAATTGTGAACTGCTACATTCTAATGAGATGAAAGTCCAAACAAGAAGTAGCACAGCCTCTAAAGTAGCTGAGATTATTCTGATTCCAACTAAACTCAACTATTGACTCAATAGGATCCAGTATTTCCTGCTTTCACCTCTGATCTGTATGCTCAAGGTTCCTTCCTTGTAATTTTTTCCACTCCTGGAGGTCACAAGTCAACAAAGTTAAGGTAAAAGGTTTGTGTGGTTAGCTTTAATTATCAACTTGACACAGCCTAGAATCACCTGGGAAGAGAGAGTCAATGGAGGACTGTCTACATGGGGTGGTCTGAGGGCATGCTATACAGGGGAATGTCATAATTGTTAATTGATGGGGTAAGACTCAACCCACTTTGGGTGGCACCATTCCCTAGGCATGGTGGGTCCTAAACTGAGTAAGAGTAGAGAAACTGAGCTGAGTATAAGCAAGCAAGCAAGAAAGTGAGCATGTATGCATTCATTTCTCTCTGCTCTTGACTGTGGATGTCATGTGACTACCATTTGAAATTCCTGTCTTGACTTCCCTGCAGTAATGGACTATAATCTGGAATTATGAGCTAAAACAAACCCTTTCTTCCTAGAATTGCTTTTTATTTTGATATCTTATCCTAGCAACAAAAGGAAACAAGAATATATATGTGGTTTTACCTGCATGCTTGTTGCGTCTGTGGCTGATTCTTGGTGTAGACGAGCCATTCCCCCGTGGTAGAAAAAGGGCAGCACCTTTGACAGTTAAAAAGCTCTCGCTGATGCTGTAAGGAAAAAGTTAAGAGAAAAATTACTTAAGGATGTAAAGTAAATAGGATGGAGACCCAGTTTAGGATTTCTCTCTCTTCTCTACCCAAAGTTCCAACTCCACAGGGTGAAGTATGCCTTTAATCCTAGCACTGGGAAGGCAGACACAAGCATCTGATCTCTGTGAGCTCAAGGCCAGCCAGCCTGGGCTACAAAGCAGCAAGCTTCATGCAAATCAGGGTCACAGAGTGAGACACACCATCACAAAAAATCTACACACACACACACACACACACACACACACACACACACACACACACACACACAAAACAAAATGAAAAGGGAATTAAAGCAAACAATAACAACAAACCCAAATTAAAAGATCAATTAAAAAATTAAAAATAAAAAACACAAACAAAACCAAAATTGAACAGTTTCAAGAGGAGAGATTATTCTTTATTCTGGTTGCTCACATATAGTTTTGCCTACTCTAGATAATTTTTCTAAAACAAAACTTAAAATATTCTATTTAAATTACATGGCAGAAGTTAAGAAAAACTTTAAATAAATAAAAGGGCAAAGACTCTGGCACAAGATTGTAAGGGTCTGAATCCCAGCTCTATTGCTATGTGGTTATTTATTCTTCTATAAAATGAGGTTATGAGAAGTCAGTGAACACACAGCTTCCTTAGGTAGTACCTGGGTTCACAGAAGTAAGTCTTCCCCCAACCCTGAAACAGGGTTTCTCTGTGTAGCCCTAGCTGTCCTGGAGCTCATTCTGTAGACCAGGCTGGCCTCAAACTCAGAAGTCTGTCTGCCTCTACTTCCCCAGTGCTGGGATTAAAGGTGTGAGCCACCACTGCCTGGCAGAAGTAAGCTCTTAATAAATATTAGATATTATTAGTGATTAGTGATAGTGTTTCAATGGTGTTCTGATAAGATGTAAAACATTCTCTGTTTTCTTTTTCAAAATTAAGTTTCCTTTTTAATTTTTGTGGTGCTAGGTCCTGGGATCAAACCCAGGGCCTCACATATGCTTGATAATTACCTTATCACTGAGCTGTACCAATTGCCCAGAAATGCTTCAATATTTATTTATAACAGAGCCAGAGTTTGGAAGAACACTTATTTTAAACACACACACACACACACACACACACACACACACACACACACACACACACAATCTCAAGTGTGAGCTCAAAACTGTATCCTCATTAAATAGAACAGTGGTTATCAAAACCTGCAAAGGATAATATGGAGGGGGGTATAAAGAGGGGATGATGGTTGGTGGGTATAGGAGTCTAGTTGGAGAAGGCTAATAGTTTCTAATGTTCTATAGCATAGTAGGATAACTATAACTGATCACAAGTGTATGCTTCAAATTAGCTAGAAGATTTTGAAGGTTCCTAATATAAGGAAATTATAAATGTCTGAGGAGATTAATATAACCTATAAGTCCCCAGATCTATCATTGGACACTGTATACAGAGGTGTGGAGAGATGTTTCACCAGTTAAGAGCACCTGTTCTTTCAGAGAGTCCAGGTTAAATTCCCAGTACCCATATGGTGGCTCAAAACCATTCAGTTCCAGGGGATTCAACAAGCAAACACATGGTGCACACACATGTATACAGGCAAAACATTCATACACTTCAAGTAAAAATAAATCAATCTAAAGAAATAAAAAAATTGTATATGGGTATCAAAATATTACATTTGATTTCATAAATATGTACAACTGCTGTGTGTAAATTAAAAATAAACAACTAAAATTGCACTCTTAGTAGCTGCATCTCCACATGCACTGGAGAGGACTAGGACAGAGGAAGTGTGCTTTACTTCCTGGAGGAGATCTCCCATGGGAGGCTGATAACAGAAGTGGAGAATTATTGCTTAGAACAGAAGATAGTCAAAATTATAATTACAAGTGGATAGAAACAAAAGACATATCGAAATTTCTTTCATAACAATGGACTTAACAAGCCTTTCATTATTATCCACAGAATCTGAAAAGGGGAGAAAGTCAGAACTTTTAAGACACTCATTGCGAAGTTTAGAAACATGTAATAGAGGTTTCTAGGTATGCCCCTGAGGATTTAGTGCTATTCTTGGTTGGCCAGTGTATGCAAACAACACTCCCTACTCAATCTTTCTACTTGGAAAAATCTAATTGACATCGTAAATTTACACTGTCCAAGCTAAGTTACTGGGCTGGGGACACGGCTTCCAGGTAGAGCACTTGCCTAGCATGTGCAAAGACCTCAGCTTAACCCTCAGTACTGTAAAACCAAACCAAACATAACCAGAAACAACAAAGAAAGAACCTCTCTAAACCTTTCCTGGGGTTCTGGGGACCAAACGCAGAACTCCCACAACTAGGCAAGAACTCTCCTATGGTCTGAGTGCCAGCCCTGCTCCAAACTCTGAAGCACCTCCTCACGACTGACTCCTAGATTCATCTGCACAGTTGTTTGGGACAAATGTGGAACAGTCAAGTTGGCCTTCGTGTCTTTTTATCTCCCCATGATATATCTCTAATCCATCTGCAAATTCTATGGGTTGTACTCTCAAACTCACTTTGGATCTGTCCATCTACTCCCATCATCATCTTGACTCTGGTCCATAGTACTGCCATTTTCTTCTTATGCTGTTGTTTGCTTGGGCTTTTTAAAAAGTGTTTTAGCAGGGTGGTGGTGGCTTATGCCTTTAATCCCAGCACTCAGGAGGCAGAGGCAGGCGGATCTGGGTTCAAGGCCAGCTGGTCTACAGTGCTAGTTCAAGGTCAGCCAGGGATATACAAGGAAACCCTGTCTCAAAAAAGCAACCAACCAACCAACCAAACACAAAAAGTGTTTTCACTGAGGGATTCAAGTTTGCTGATGTAACTGGGTCTTAGCTACTCCTCTGATTTTTTGAGGTAAGAGTTCATGTAGCCATGTTGGTCTTGAATTTGCTATATAGCCAAGGATGACTCTGAATATCCTATTGTATCCACTTCCCAAGTACTGGGGTTAAGGTATGAGCTGTCATGTCCAGCCAATAGTTCTTTAGTAGTGAAAGACAGTATTATATTGAACTGCAATTACTTTTCGACCACTTTTCTAGCATTTACTAGACTGACCTGTAAACAGTCAGTAGCTGTCCAATAAATTTCTGTTAGAAGAATGGTGAAAGAGTAAAAATAGATAAAGAAAGAAAGAAAGAAGAAGTTTCCTGTTTTGCTTTTGAAGTAGAGTATCATGTAACCCAGGCTGGTTTCATTCACTTATGTAGTTTAGGATGATGACGTGGCTCTCTTCCTCCTGCCGTCACCTCTCCAGTGTTGGTATTATAGACAAGCGCTAACACAATCTGGGTGTTTACTTTGTAATAAAAGCTTTTTAAATAAGTTTTCAAACAGATGGGCAAGGTGACAAATGCCTTTAATCCCAGCACCCAGGAGGCAGAGGCAGTGAATGTAAGTTTGAGGACAGCCTGGTCTACATAGTAAGACCATCTCAAAGCAAATCAAAACAAACAAACAAGCAAACAAACAAAACAAAACCTTTTAAATGTATAGAAAAGTAGTGTGTGTGTGTATGTATATATATATGCATGTGTGGGTGTGTGGGTGGCAAGGCTGGAGAGATGGTTCAGGGGTTAAAGTTCGTGCTGCTTTTGTAGATTACACCTACATGAATAGGCTCACAACTGCCTGTAACTCCAGCTCCAGGGGAACCATACTCTTCTTGCCTCCTCAAGCACTTTCACACACTTGGCGCATATACATATACACAGGTGCGCGCGCGCGCGCACACACACACACACACACACACGATAAGTAAATAATTTTTTTTTAAATAGGAAGAACTTATGAACACCCATATTTCTATCACATTCTAGCTTTAGTTCTTGGCTAATTTTCTTTCTATCTTCATCTCCTTCACTTTGTCTCTAACGTGAATCAAATCCTAGACATTGTATCAGCAAAAAGCCTTTTGGTAGTTCTGTCTGCAACCACTTTTGCCCCTCTGCCACCCACTTATCAAACTGCAGCCAGTGCTTTAAAGTATATTCAGACTACAGCGTCACTGTGTACAGCTCTGTAAAGGCTTCTTCCCTTCATACTTAAAAATGAAGAGCCGGTCTGCAGCTTGGTCCTCTAGGCTCATGAAACAGCCTGCAGTTCAGCCAGTTACTTCCACCTTAAGCTAGCTGCTTCTCCTTGTTGACTATGAACTATCCCTGGTCACTCTGTTTTGACTGCGGTATTTCAGGCCCCTTCTCAAGGCCTTTGTATTTACCTTTCTCTACTTGAGTCTTCCCCGAAACTGTTGAGTATTTAAACCTCAGCTCTACTATCACCATGCCTCTTTTCTTTTATCCCAATCACATTCTGTCCTGTTGTCCTGTTTTGTCTCTTTCAGGATATTTTTGTGAACTAGATTATTTATTCACTTGTGTTCTTGATTGCAGTCATCAGCATATAAGCTCTACGGATGCAAGGTCCTTACCTTGCTCTCACTGTACCCTCAGCACTGGAAAGAAACACCACCAGAAATACAGTAAGGGCTCAAAAGATATATGAGAATACATTAACTTATCCTTGTTTCCTCCCAATTTCCTGGACTCTTCTACCAGTGCAATAGGAATAACTCCAGTTAAGAAATGGGTTACAGAGCACACTGGGTGTGGTGGCGCCTGTTTTTAATTCCAGCACTTGAGAAGTAGAGGTCGATCTCTTGTGAGGCCAGCTTCTATCTACATAGCAAGTTACAGTCCAACCAGGGCTATATTATGAGACCCTATCTTAAAAAAAGTGTTATAGAACTCCATGCATGTGGTAGATTAATGGGTCATAAAATGAAATTGTTCATGGCAAGTAAGTGGGCAAGCTGAAATCAGCTTTATAATGCTCAATTTTGGCTCAATTTCATGCTTCAATAAAGTGGTATGAGATTGATGAAACTTTTGAGGTTGTAACCAGCCAGAAAGATTGGACACATTTTTAAAAAACAAAACACATAAGAATCTA